AAATTGACTCAATACCCAACTTACCCAAGCCAACCTGTCAAATTAGCGGGTGGGTTGGGTGGGTTGTTGGGTTTTGGGCATAATTATCTGGTCTAGTCTAGAGCAACTCTTCTCTTATTCTAGCTCTATAAATCATCGAGTGCAAGGCAAACATATAAGAGATGATATATACTGTAAATATTTGCAAGAAGAAGCTATTTAATCAAATAACTGTGGAAAGCGTACATCTTAAACCCTTGGAAACATAGCGGCTGATGAATGAGTCACGAATCCAATTATCCTCTGCCTCACCTTCTTAACCTCCACTCTTCTAGATGTTGAAAAATTTGTCCCGTAAGGCAGACTTGTTGACAACTTGACATATTTGGGCAATCAAATGCAACTGTTACCAACTTGACATTAGCCGATTTTAGATCATTAAAGCACAGCAATTGCTAGTTTTTCTAAACTCGAATCCCCATAATGTTTACACAAATACTAGTATTATTTGAACCCTGAATTGCCGCAGCCCCAATCTGATTAGCTGAACATGAAACTTCTGAAATTTATGGCCCTTTAATTACTTCAACTTGTGTTCTTGCATGTGAGTTCATGAAAATTTTTATGGGGGGTTGTTTGACATTTTGATCTAGCTAATTGCTCAAAGGCTAAGCCGTGTTGATTTTTTCTTGCGGTTGCATTGGACTTTGACTTTTACAATACTATTAACTTTTTTCTTGGGTCCATGTTACACTAGTACAAGTACAAATTTGATCAAGAACCACTTCTAATTAAAATGCACGATTGGAATTTTGTTAGGTAAAGAAGATCTTGATCTATGTCAAAGAAAATGCAAACCTGTTCGTGACAGTGTGGCCTCCAAAAGTCAAGTCAGCACCAAGTTCACCCAGCCAAGTTGATCATATTTTTATAGCCCTCCTGCCTATAAAACTCCTGCAGTGGCATACCATTTGTCACAACATCTGATAACCCTCTGAATTGAGTATGGAGAAAATGTCCATGTCTACTTTCTTAAGTTGCACTACTCTCCTGTTGCTCATCAGTGTAATTTGTTCCATCTCATTTCCTCATGTCCATGCATCTTCTTCTTCTCCCTCAAAACCTACTTCATCTGATGCCCTATGTGACCTGACTCCGTACTCAACTTTCTGTAAATCTCAATTCCCTCAAAACAAATCTACCAACATACATGACCATGGCAGGCTGTCTATTCAGAAATCCCTTTCAACATCCACAGTCCTACTTTCAGCAATCAACCGTCATTTAAGTTCCAAAAGTTCATTATTGTCTCAAACCGCAGTTTTTGCTCTTCAAGATTGCCAAGATCTTGTTACTACAAATGTGGATTTGTTGTCAAATATTCTCCAAACTATAAAAAATAGCGATGGCCTCCAGGGTTCTCAATATGAGGACTCCAATACATGGCTTAGCGCAACCATAACCTGTCTACAAACTTGTTTGGACGGACTGAAAGCTGTACTATCAGCCTCACCCGTTGCCAGTGAGCTTTCACCTTCACTCACCGATGGGAGCATGCTAAGTGGGGTGTCTCTTGCTCTTCTCAAGTATGGCTGGAAACCATCTACCGGTAAATCCAGATTGCTTGGAGAGTTATTTCATTTGTCTATGGCAAAATATGCTAGAAAGAGCTTGTGGAATGCTAAGTTTTATGAGTCAACAAATGGAAGAAAGCTCCTACAAATTGGTGGTATGAGTGTTAACATAACCAAAACTGTTGTGGTGAACCCTGATGGAAGTGGCAATTACATTACCATTAATGATGCCATTTTGGCAGCTCCAAACAACACTAAAGCTGGCAAGGGGTACTACCTGATTCGTGTAGTTGCTGGAGTTTACCAAGAGTACATTTCTATTGCTAGTAACAAAAAGTATTTGATGATGGTTGGCGATGGTATAAACAAGACAATTATCACCGGTAATCATAGCGTGGATGATGGATGGACAACCTTCGATTCTCCAACATTTGGTAACACTATTACTCCATTTTACTTCTCTTTAGGAATCAAATTATTATTCTTTTTTTTTTTTTGGAGAATTAACTCCCTAAACAAATACACAATCCTCTGATATGTTAGTAACTCAGTTCTAATATAGTACTTCATGCTGTGACAGCGATACCTTTCCCTGAGGAGTACTTTATTCTAAGGTTTTTGCTTTTAAAAATGTATAAAAGGAATTTTACACCTTTTAATCAGCATTATAGAATGTAATTGGCACTTACATCTCACTATTTAAGATTCCGAACAGGATCATTTGTGATTAATACATACTGAAAAGTAGTATTTGGAATTCACATTTTCAGACTTTCCATTGCAATATATTAGTTCCATTCCAATATTTTATGACAAAACAAGAGAAATGCATACAGCGCATTTTACTTGGGTACCTCATTTGTTTCTTTTCAATCACACATTTTGATCTGGTTAAAATCGTCCTCCTTTTTCGTTAAGTGTAAGCTTGGATTCATTTGGCTGGCTGACTTTGTACAGGAAAGGGTGGATAATTTTATACTTGAAGAATTCATAATGGTATTGGACTTTGCAGTTCATGAAGCTGAAATCCATTATAGGATTAAAAATTTAAAAGACAAGTCAAAACTTATGCTATAGTTTGATGAACAAATGCTTTTCAGGATAAAAGTTTTTCATCCTGTTGTCTGAAACTCTCACCATGTATACACGTTTGAGTAATATTCTGTGCTGGTGAGGTATCTTGTGGAGGATCATTTTAATTAGTAATCAAAACTACGTAATGCCACCTACTAACACGTCTAAAAATAATATTTCTTGCAGCTGTAACTGCTCAAGGATTTGTTGCAATGAACATTACCTTCCGTAACACGGCCGGAGCAATAAAACACCAAGCAGTGGCTCTTCGAAGTGGTGCCGATCTTTCGACATTTTATAAGTGCAGTTTTGAAGGTTACCAAGATACTCTCTACACTCATTCCATGAGGCAATTTTACAGAGAATGCGACATTTATGGTACTGTAGACTACATATTTGGAAATGCAGCAGTGGTTCTCCAAATGTGTAACATATATTCAAGGCTTCCTGTGCAAGGCCAGTTTAACACCATTACTGCTCAAGGAAAAGTTGACATAAACCAAAATACTGGTACATCTATCCAGGATTGCAACATTTTGGCCGCGAGGGACTTAGCTTTGAGCAATGCGACTGTGAACACATATCTTGGACGACCCTGGAAGAATTATTCCACAACGGTTGTTATGGAATCGTTCATGGATAAATTGATCAATCCTGCTGGTTGGGCACCATGGTCCGGGGATTTTGCGCTGAGTACATTGTATTATGCTGAGTACAATAATACAGGTCCGGGATCAAAGACTACCAAGAGGGTTACATGGCCTGGCTATCATGTCATCACAAAATCATCTGATGTTTCTAATTTTACTGTGTCCAACTTCATATCTGGAGACTCCTGGTTGCCTGCCACTGGAGTTCCTTATCTTGGTGGCTTTTTGCATTCATAAAGATTTCTCAATCCGAGGTCTCTTATTTTCTTGGAGCAGCTTAAAGATTAGTAAAACAAGAACCAGCTAATGGTCGGATACTTGTCAGTGTCTTAATTAATATTCCTGGCGTTTTAAAACGTTCAGCTAGCTAAATGAATTGTGGATTATTCACATTGGACAATCTCACACTAATCACTTGAAGGTTTTTGTTGTAATCTCCCCTGAGTTATTCAGTAACCTGCGAGGGGTCTCAATGTCTTATGACAAACCCCTAACCAGATTTGATGATTATTGTCTTTTGCGCAAAACCTTCGACGAATCTACCAATGGCTACAATCTGGAAAAGCCCAAATGCAGCAATGTTCACAAGGAAACGAGAATGAGACTTTCGTAAGGTCAACTACATGGATGGGATAATACATCTATAATGCAAGCAGAAATACATAGCTGATTTTTCACGTGATAGGCAACGAGTAAAGATGATCAAGATTGGGAGATAACGTTGACCGGTGACGAAACTAGAAAAATTTACTTTGAGGGCGAAATGCATACACATATAAACTTTAGACTTGATATAAAATTCTTTGAATTTTTTTCGAGGCAAAATATCATTTATAAGGAAAATTTTGAAAACTTACAAATTTTCAAGGGGAGAAAAGACAAATTTCTGAAATTTGAGGTGTTGTTCCAAAAGTAACTCTTAGATCTTAAAAATTCAATTTAACACTTAAATTTAATGGGTTAAGATCTTAATATATTCATATGCATTGGATAACTAAAATTAGAATATCTGAATTAATTAAATACTACTGAATTTTTTAGCCAAAATTTGTTCCACAAAAAAAAGTGATCAGGTATTCATTTGTTATTTAATGTGATATACACTCAAATGTGTCACATTTAGTAATTAATAATTCAGTAACTTAATAAATTTAGATTTTAAATTTCAAATTTCAGATTTCGATATTCAAATTTCAGTTTTATCAAACGCACCATCAGTTTTCTGGATCTCAAAACTCCAAAGTTTTCACACGGATGGTAATTGAAGTCTTCATCTGGACGCATTAAGTAAGAAAGCTTTGGGGGATGAGCAAACACTTGTTAACACATATAAATTACATTTAACTTGTCATGTAAATATACAATATCACAAGTATTGCACCTCTCAATTAAAAAACTTTTTCAAAAAAAAAAAAAAAAACTTTTGAGACCCTATTAACGACGTGCACCCATTAATCAAACCATATTAAAATATATTAAGTCGCAGTTTTGATCTGGAACTGCTTTAACCATACTTGGTTGATGCATTATTAAGTAAAGAGGAGCTTGATTAATGATAAAGAAATGGAAACTTCCTCATGACAGAGTGGCATCCAAAAGTCAGCACCACGTTCATCTCCCCAACTTGATCGTATTCTTTTGACATAATTGTCTATTTAAACCCGCATAAGTGTATCATAAATCACAACATTAAGCTGCCTTCCAATCTAGTTGTATCGAAACAATGTCGATTTCTACTTTCTCACTGTTTTTGATCATTCATTCAATCATGTCTCCTATCCATGCATCTTCTTCATTCTCAAAACCTACTTCATCCGATGGCCTCTGTGACATTACTCCTTACCCGGATTTCTGTAATTCTGAAATGCCTCAAAACAAATCAACCAACATATATGACTATGGCAGGTTGTCCATCCAGAAATCTCTTTCAACATCCCAAGTCTTACTTTCTGCAATCAACCGTTACTTACATTCCGGAAGTTCTTCACAATCCCAGACCACAGTTTTTGCTCTTCAGGATTGCAAAATTCTCCTCAGTTCAAATGTGGATTTGTTATCAAGTGTTGCTGGAATTATAAAAGATGGAAATGCCCTCCAAAGTTCACAATATGATGACTTGGAGACTTGGCTTAGTGCAACCATTACCTCCAAACAGACTTGTTTGGAGGGACTATATGCTGTGTCATCAGCTTGGGCAATCGCAAATGGCCTTTCACCTTCATTAGCTAATGGAACCATGCTTTGTAGCGTGTCCCTTGCACTTGTCAAGCATGGTTGGATCCCATCTACCCCAAAATCCAGATTGCTTGGTGAAAAATTCCCTTTTTCTGGTGCGAAATATGCAAGAAATCACTTGCCTCTGAGACTATCAAGGTGGCATCCTAAATTCTATGAGTCAACAATTGGAAGAAAACTCCTACAATCTGGTGGTGGTAGTGTTAACATTACCAAAGTAGTCGTGGTGAATCCTGATGGAAGTGGCAATTACACCACCATTAACGATGCCATTTCAGCTGCACCTAACAACACTCAAGCAGGCCAGGGATATTACCTGATTCATGTTGTTGCTGGAGTTTACCAAGAGTACATTTCTATTGCTAGTAACAAGAAGTATCTGATGATGGTTGGTGATGGCATAAACCAGACGATTATAACTGGTAATCATAGCGTGGGTGATGGATGGACAACCTTCAATTCTGCCACGTTTGGTACGTACACTTCTTCAATTATTTTACGACTTTGTTTAGTTAGTCCTTCGAATTGGTACTAGATAAAACTATACCTTGTTCTCGTCTGCCTTAGATTTTGCACAATCTAATTATAGACAGTGATTACACAAAATAATCAAAATCAGCAAAAGTTACTATTTGATTGATATGAAATTTAGCATTTTTGGTTACTAAAAAATTTTATAATTTAAATACAAAAACTAAACGAGAACATCAAAAAAATTGATTTTCCAAAATAAAAAATCTATAATCAATTAAGAGTAAGCCCTATGTTGGAGCCTCTCTGGAACTTTCCTCTAGATTTATTAAGAGTAAATTGTGTTGAACGATATCTAGCAATATCATTAGTAATATTTGTTTGTTCTATTAGAAGCAAAAAATTGTTATAATTATGCAAAAACACTAGTTAAGAAAGTAGAAGCCCTGGCATTGTAGAATGAGGTCGTATGCATACTGCATGCAGCTTCGTGAGGGATGTCAATGTTTGGCTTTGGGAAAATGTTGACACTGAATACTGATCAGATGTGGTAAAGAGGCTTTGCACTACCCTATTGTAGCCTATGACCTAAGACTCTAGAGCATCCTTTTCCCTCCCCCAGATCAATTGATTCAGTAAGATCTAATTTAGGCTTATCTGATGATTAATTTCACCCTAAATAATGTTTTTCTCATGTTTACCTACGTGATAGCTAGATTAATTAAGAGAAATGAATCTTTATGGAGCAGGACGAATAAATTTGTAGTTTAACTCTTTGACAAATCATAATTGAACACAATTTGCAATTCTTTAAGCTGAAAATTCTATTACAAGAATGGACATAACTGATAGAAAGTCCAAGCCTCTGTTGGTTATTGTTGGATGTCTTCTTCTTTTCAATTGCCTGAAATGCTGAAACTGTCAGCCTTTTGCTCTATTCATTAATGTGTTTGGCTCTTTGACTAAATTGGGTAAAATTATTTTAGCCTGTTTCTATATATAGTATGCCAGCCTAGTTTTAAAGCCCTTTTCCAACTGACTAGGTGGAGTTGCATCTAGACCATATGGCGTGCAATTTCATTAGTCACAGTTGTTTGGTACCATAATTAGTAGATTGAGCCTTGACTTCTTTAAATTTTCTCTTTTTAATCCGCTCATCTGCAAAGAATTGAAATTGATTTTTTAGTGTTTGTCAATCATGCGCACCTTCCGAAGAATACGTAAAACTTAATCTCATTGCATACATCCAATAAACAATGTCTCACTAGTTCATCAAATTTTCCTATATATTCATTTCCTTGCAATTCTTATTTATTTTTCACAATGGAAAACTTACTTTGGAGGGATTATAAGGTTTGGGGGTCAATATGAAAGTTTTTGAAAATTTTTGTGAAGGCAAAAAGTTTATTTAATTTGTAACTAACATCTATGAAATCCTTTTAAAATTCATGGCAAATAGGGTAAATTACTTTTTAACTTTATGTGGTTTGATGTTTTACCACATAACCCCCTTATGGTTTACAAACCTATACATAACCACCTCTTACTATTTTTTTTGTTTCTTAGTTATTTGTTTTATATTTCTCTTCCATCTTTTTTGTTTCTTATTTATTTATTTATTTTTATTTCCCTTCCATTTTTGTTGTTTCTTATTTGTTTATATTTTACTTCCCTTCCATCATTTTTGTATTTGGAGAAAATTAAAATTTTGTAGGCCAAAATATAGGTTTTCAAAATCATCTCTTCTCTTCAAGAGAGAGAAAGAGAGAGACAGAGAGAGGAAAAAGAAAAAAAAAAAGGTAGTAAAAGGGTGAATTTGTTAATTTCTTAGTTTGATTTTGACTTTTTACTATTGACGATTAGTTTTAAGGGAAAAACTAATGATGACACTTTAACTCAAACCATGAGAGAGCTATACATAAGTTTTCAAACCATAAAGAGATTATGTTATAAAATACTAAATCACATGGAGCTAAAAGGTAATTTACCCCCAAAAAATATAAATTCCTAAGGCTTGGGGGCGGTACACCTTAATTGGTTCCTTCCCTCCTGAATAAGGTGATTTTTCAAATCGAACCAGGGTAACTTGTGCTTCCAAATCTCCCTCAAAAGTTCGAGTTTTCTTATTTTCTTTGTGTGTGTGGGTGGGGTTCTTGGAGGGGGGGGGGGAGGGGAGGGGAAGAATGAGAGCCAATCGTCTCATGTTTGCCCTGTTATATTTCAGAAATCAAAACTACATGTTGGTACATATCTCAACATAATATATATTTCTTGCAGCCGTGGTTGCACAAGGATTTGTTGCAGTTAATATTACGTTCCGTAATACTGCTGGAGCAGCAAAATACCAAGCTGTGGCTGTTCGAAATGGTGCTGATCTTTCTACATTTTACAACTGCAGTTTTGAAGGTTACCAAGACACATTATACACCCACTCTATGAGGCAGTTTTACAGGGAATGTGACATATATGGAACCATAGACTACATTTTCGGAAATGCCGCTGTTGTTTTCCAGCTCTGCAACATGTACTCAAGACTTCCTCTCCAAGGCCAATTCAACACCATCACTGCCCAAGGAAAAACCGACATAAACCAAAATACTGGTACTTCTATTCAAGATTGCAACATTTTGGCCGCCACCGACTTATCTTTGAGCAATGCGACGGTACAAACGTATCTTGGACGACCATGGAAGAATTATTCCACGACGGTTTATATGGAATCCTTCATGGATGGTTTGATTAATCCTGCTGGTTGGGCACCATGGTCAGGGGATTTTGCGCTTAGTACATTGTACTATGCTGAGTATAACAACTCTGGTCCGGGATCGAACACTACCAACAGGGTTACATGGCCTGGCTATCATGTGATCACAAGTGCATCTGCTGTTGTTAATTTCACTGTGTCCATTTTCATATCTGGGGACTTCTGGTTGCCTGCTACCGGAGTTCCTTACATTGGTGGCTTTCTTTATGCCTAAAAATCCTTCCATTTGGGCGGTTCTTGTTTTGGTTGAAGCTGGTGCAAGATTAGAAAGACGAAAATCAATAAACTGAGATTTATCTATATAATTTTTAGGACTAATTTTTTCTACACTGCCAGTTTTGAATGAAGAACAACTATGCAAAATTTGAATTTGAAATCCAATTTTTGTGCACGTATCATGAATCTAACGGTAATACTATATACACTGTCAATGCATATAAAATTTGCCTTACTTTTTACCTTATATTCTAAACAGTTTAGCTTGGCTAAATAGATAGCATCTAATCTTATTTTGCAATGTTGTAATCATATCACTTGAAGGCTTTGGCTTTTAGTCTTTCTTAATGTGAGCTTTGTTTTGGTTGCTAAATCTTATGCCAAACTCCTTGGATCACATGGTGGGAATTGTTGGAGAAAGTGAGGTGATTAATCTTTTCAAGCGAAATATTTCTTGAATAATTAAGTGTGTGGTCAAAGTTTGAGAAAGCTTTTAAGAAGGAAATAAACTGGGGCGAGGCAACTTTGGGTAAACTCATAATCGATTTAATTAAGGTGATAATTAGACTGTAGGATGGAACTTGTATACTGTAATGCCCTTTCAATTCGGCTTTATTGAACTTTGGCATCAGAAATGTTTTAACTTCGCTGTAATGATGATATGATTAAAGGCAAAGGAAAAGAGATTTTGCAGCTTATTTTATCAATGATCAAAATCAAAAAACAAAAACAAAAAAAAATTATTTTGTATGATTTATTTGCACGATAAGAGATGATTTCCTTGCGACCAATGTGGAAAATTATACGAAATAAAATTAACATAAAAGGGTCTTACAGAATCTAAACTTTAGTCTTGTGTGAAGAATAAAGCTCCTAAATGATTAATTCATTTTGATTGCAGTTATATGCTTGATATTGTATGAATCAATTGATGTACGTACACATGCTTGTTTTGGCCATTATGTAGCACATATTGATAACGTATTGGCGAATGTTCAATTTAACTCACTTTGATTTGAAAAGCTATACTATATCTTTTTGTGATTTTGACTATATTGAAAATCGAATGAAAAACATTTCTTGTATAGTAGGGAGATTATTGATATTTCACACATAACCGTTAAATTGGATGCTTTTTGTCTAATTTTCAATTTAGTTGAAATTACAGGGAATTACAGTGTAAGTTTCTAAATCAGTGGGAGTTAAACTAGACATTCAACAAATCACATGGAATTTTTTGGTATTTTACCTAAAATTTATCCAACACAAGTTTATAGCGTGTGCAAGAAGTGTCCTCCGTAATTTAAGACATTTTTTTGTGTCTAAATGTAAAAATAAAAGGTTAGATTGGATGTTTGCCGTGTCCTATCCGTGTGATGTGATTGTGTCCATACTTGCTAACAGTTCCACTATATAAGCAAAGAAAACAGCCGAATGTTAATCACCACTTGCTAACCATAGTAAAAACATCTCTAACTCTCCATACAGGTTTCTCTCTGAGCCTCATGTTATATAACAGAATAACTACTAAGTTTCACATACTGATTTACACACCTCCTATAAAACAATCTTTCTAGTAATTCTCCAGGGCCAACAGCATCCTGCGGGCTAATACATAGCTTGAAAGGAGAGGGTCACAAAGTAGCTGTTCTGGCCCTTCTCCACTGATCATCAGGTTAATAATTCGTTCTATTAGCCACAACCTTTCTGAAAAAGTTATAAGAAAAGTGATTTCATTTGGCAGTTGTTGATAGCTATACAATTGTCAAATATGGCTGGCCAGGCCAAGAAGAAATTTGCCATTCTTGGCATTGCTTCACTTGTCCTAGTGGCTATGGTGGTTGCCGTCACCTTAGGCACCCAAAACTCCGACACCGACAACTACAATCACCAAGCAGTTTCTGACTCCCAGAAGGCCATCCAGACAATCTGTGAACCTACAGATTACAAAGAGACTTGCATCAAGACCCTACAAGCCGAAGCTGGAAATTCCACAGATCCCAAAGAACTCATTCAGGCTGCATTCAAGGCTACCACTAATTACATCAACGAAGCAGCCAAGAACTCAACTGTTTTGCAAGAGCTTCAGAAAGATCCCAGAACCAAATTGGCTCTTGAAAACTGCAAAGAGCTTGCACACCAGGCTGTTGAGGATCTTGAAAGATCTTTTGCCAAGTTCCAAACTTTTGATTTCAGCAACATAGATGACATGCTTGCTGATATCAAGGTTTGGCTCAGTGGTGCCCTTACATATCAACAGACATGTCTGGATGGTTTTGAAGGTGCCGAGGGAGATGCAGGAGAGAAAATGAGGCAATCTTTGGAGACTAGTATGGAACTGACTAGCAATGGTCTTGCTATGATCAATGACATCTCTTCAGTCCTCACAAGTTTGGAACTTCCTGCCTTCACAAATCGTCGTCTCCTATCTGATGATATCCTCGGTCACGGTATGGACATTTTACCTTCTTGGATAGATGAAGGAAGGCGCAGGCTGCTTCGAGCTAAGCCACGTAAAGTTAAACCTGATCTCATTGTTGCCAAGGATGGATCCGGCAATTTCACGACGATCAACGAGGCACTCCTGAATATCACCAAAAATGAAGAAAAAGAATTTGTGCTCTACATCAAAGAGGGTGTCTACGAAGAGAAGGTGACCTTTCATAAGAACTTGCTTCATTTGACGGTTATCGGTGATGGCCCAACCAAGACAAGGATTACTGGAAAATTGAATTTCATTGATGGAGTTCCGACTTACCACACGGCTACAGTCGGTATGTATTCCCTCCCTTCTTTTTTTTTTTTCCCAATTATTATGATACATTGCCTTGGTTTACTAATAATATATCAAACAAAGGACACAACGCCAGTAATTCAAATGGGAATGTAACTTTTTCCTTTTTGGATTTCTAATAATGTGAGAAATATCTTTGAATGCAGCTGTGCTTGGAGACTTTTTCATTGCTAAGGACATTGGCTTCGAGAATGCTGCTGGCCCTGAAAAGCATCAAGCCGTGGCAGTGCGTGTTGGAGCTGACAAAACAATTTTCTACAATTGCCATTTCGATGGCTTCCAAGATACTCTCTATGCACACACCTATCGCCAATTCTACCGCAACTGTAAAATCTCTGGAACCATAGATTTTGTATTTGGTGATAGTGCTGCCGTGCTCCAAAACTGCACATTGGAGGTCAGAAAGCCTCTGGACAATCAACAGTGTATCGTCACAGCACAAGGCAGGAAGGACGTGCGCCAGCCAACAGGTCTGGTGCTACAGAATTGCAGCTTTGTGGCCGATCCAGCATATTTCCCATACAGATTTCAACTCAAATCATATCTTGGCCGTCCATGGAAAGAATTCTCAAGAACCATCATCATGGAATCTTTCATTGATGATTTGATCCAGCCGGAGGGATGGTTGGCCTGGAATGGCTCTTTTGCTCTCGACACACTCTTCTATGCTGAATTCAACAACAGAGGACCTTCCTCCAATAAGATGCTCCGTGCTCAATGGAATGGTGTTAAGGAGCTTCCATCATCTCGAGTTGAACGTTTTCTTCCATCCAAATTCATCGACGGCAATCACTGGATAAAATCAGCTCGTGTCCCCTACAACTCTGGATTCATTTACCCACCACCACAGGAGGATCCCAGTGTTAAATACTCCCCTGTAGCACCAGAAGAAACCAAAGACTTAGGCTCAGACAGAAGCAAGGAGGCATTCTATTTCCGTCAACCAGCAGCAACTGATAATGCAGACATTGGATCTGCATCAATAGCGGCCCCTCCTCTTACAAGCTATGGCCTTCCTCCAGCTTTGAGCCCAGTTGCCGCTCCAGCTCCCGCTCCCATTCCCACTCCCATTCCCACTCCCACTCCCACTCGCAAACGGAGATCAGGTTCACGTCTTAGGCGGCTTATAGCAAAGATTTGGTGACATGTTGGCATCTGTTATCCGACGGTAGAATATTCCAGTGATGAAATCGCAATGAACTGTAAGATTCAATTTTCCCATGACAATGCAGACAGCTCGAAGGAATCAAGTGTAGAAATCTCGAGTTAAAAAGACTTTTTTTTAAATTTTTTTCCCCCTTTTTTTTTTTTTGGAAATAACCAATTGTGTATTTTTTTTTATCCCTTTTGTAATTTCGTTTTCTTCACTTAATGTTAAGTTCATGGCCAATTTGTAGTAATTTATATTCTTTTTTTTTTTTGGAATATGGTAGTAGTAACAGTAGTAATTTATATTCGTTTATGGTTTATCATATATATCAAGATTTTTGTTTTAATGTATTGCCATTATATTTCTGAACATATATTTCAAATGCTTAATAACATAATTCCGTATTAACATAGGGGAGAAAAAGTAGTAACTTTTGTTTGTGTCTATATATATATATATATATATATAGAGAGAGAGAGAGAGAGAGAGTAGCTACTACTAGCATTCATCTCTTTTTACCAATAGTTTCTTGCTTGTATAATAATATCCTGTCCTTTTATACTTGGCTATATATGAGTCTTTGAGTGTAAAACTTGTGTTGGCTGTATACGGCAAATCTCATAGGTTTTCATGCGGAAAAGGAAAGGTATTTGAAAAATGACATTTTTTTGCGGGATATAAGTTCTTCATGTGAGGTAACGTGGAAAATGACAGGTGCCGAACCTGTGCAATAATAAATACCTACTCGAGAAAAATACAGATTTTTGTATATAGCGGTGAGTAGGGTCAAATCCACAGGGATTGGAGATAATTCGTTTCTTCTAGAGTTCAGAGTATGGGGGGTTTTTGATGGGAGGAAAATAAAAATAAAATAAAATAAAACAAGCAAAATTCAAAACTAACTCACAAAGTACAATTTACTAAAAATAGCAATTAATAAAAGTTCTACCCAAAAGATCAACTGCTCAGGCACGGTCCAAATAAATGCTCATCGATGCAAAGATATTTCATCCATTTATCACTAGGTTGGTTATAGCCATCAATAAGCTCTGAC